TGTGTGTGGTTGTGTAAGGAGCTGTATGGGACAGCTCTACAAAGAAAAAAGGTTGTGATTTGTAGACTCGAAATTAATAGCATTAGAAAGAATTGCCTTCCATACTCTTTGCTAAGCTTGTCACAGAAGCTTTTTATAAGAAATGGCATCTGGATCTACTTGAAAGCAAAAAAGCAACATTAACTAGAAAAATTAAATATGAGTGAAATATGAACTCTGTTGCTCTCTGCTACCATAAGTGTAGATAACAGAAATGAAGGAAATAAAAGATACATGATGTATCATTTTTCTTTATTACATTTGTGAGAGAATGCATGTGCATAAGTTCCTCTTGCTGAGTAGTACTCTCATATGGCATCAACTACAACATGCAAACTAATTTTTGAATAGAGGTCTCAGAGGTGATAATTAGTAAAAAATAAGTTTCATGACCAACGTTATATTACCAGAAAAATTCCAACACATTCTCTTTATAGTTGCAAATTGACATTTGATTTAATAATGGGATTTTAACTTATGTAATGAGGTTAGTGCACATGAGCCCAATCTCTAGTACTTTACTCTAGTTCTCAGTGTGTTCTGGCATGAGCCTTATGTGTTTATATGCCACAAAGAGAAATGTTAACTTTTCTCATCATGTCACCCTGTAACAGTGTGAATTAATCCTTGAAAATCTGAATTACCCTAACCTCACACAGACTGAATTCTCTTGAAACTCTCAGGCAGGTTTTTGTGCTTCTTACTTTGAGACTTTTACCTGAAGGCATTTTAATTATTTGACTATGCAATAAGGATTACATAGAAACTGTTCCGCGATATTTTGAAATGCTGCTGCCCTCCAGAACAAAATTTCATTAAAAAAAACCCATCAAGCTGCTATGTCTAAATAAATAAAAAGCAAACAAACAACAGAGGTACCAATGAGAAATACTAACAAAGTAACTATTCTCCTGCTACATGTCATATTAATAATAAAACCACGTTATACTCATTTATCATTTTTTATTGCTGCAGTTTACAAATACAGAAAATGCAAGGAACAAAGCTAAAGTTTGGGGAGTATTTGTTGAGTGGAAGAGGGATCTTGCAAACTTGTTGTTGATGTTGATGGGTGATTAACTACTGCCCACATCACTCAGTTGGACTGGCCTCGCTGAAAATGAAGATAAAGTATCAATCATTAGAAAGCAACTAAATATGATCATTAGATTTTAAAAGCTGTGTATAAGGAAGAGGCAATCATGGTGGTACAAATGTCTAAACCTGCAGACACAAGGCAGACAGAATGCAAAAGCTGCAAGATTTTTGTACTCCTTTACTTTTATCTGTTGTTGATAAAACCTGTTTTAAACAGATAAATGACAAGAAAAGATGTGATAGTCATGCAGTATTTCTGTCTCAGTAATAATACAGGAGAAGGAAACGGGCAGTTGAAAGACAAATCAGGAATTTGTATCAGAGTGGAGAGACAAACTGAAGATATATTTACATTTAAAAATGGAAATAGCTAGTTAAGAGTTAAAGATGGGAATATACTTCATTCAAAGAACGGCAGTAAGAAATAACATGAACATATATCAGTAAATGACCACCTTCTATTATACCACAATACCACCTTCTATTTCTTCAAATAGCAGAAATATTGACTGAGATCCATGATATTTGTGTCAGGAGCAGGTTTCATACTCAGTGGGAAAGCAGTTTAAGATTCTTTTGCTAAACTCAGTGTTTTCTGGTATTTCTTTCCGCCTGCTGTCTCACAGTACCCTATGTCCACCATTATAAAGCCACAACAGTTTGTGGTTCTCACTGAAATAGATTCCATGCCTGAGTAGCACACAGCAATTTCCAACCCACCTAATGCACCTTCTTGTGTTTGGCCTCATTTAGTTGATCAATTAGAGCAAAAAAGTAAAAGAGTTCATATATCCAAAGACAGAGAAAGATGTTAGCTTTAACATGTAAAGTGGGTCTAATTTTTATTGTTAGCAACGGTTTTGTGCTTGGCTTTTGTAGGTACTTTGTACCCTTCTCTAAAGAAAGGAGCTGAAATACCTGATGCACAGGATGTTCTTTCCATGATAACAGAACACTGATAACTTTTGGTGATAGTGTGAGACCATTCTGCTGTGCAGGCATTGATTAGTTTAGTTTCACTCATGTACTTTGCATAATATTTACTGAATTGGGTAAAATCTAAGACAGTTTGGACTAGAAGTGTTGAAGAAGATTTTCATTACTATGCCTTTGAAAACATCGTTTTGTTTTGTTTTGATTTCAGTTGTTACTCTTGTGAAATCTTATTTGACTTCGTATTTTCCAATCCACTGAAAATTCACTTTTAGGTCATAAGACTGAAAATGGCAATGAGGAATGAGAAAGTTTCTTTTAAAATATCTTTTCCAGAGTAATTTAAATGAAGGACTCTTCTGTGCAAATTCAATTGCAAGATGAAATATGGTAAAGAGCAATATACACTCAATTGAATTTCTCCTTCTTACTATAAGTACATCCCAAGAATGTGACTTACTCAAAGAAGTGGTCTATTTATTGTAGAGTAAGCTTGTTACAGAAGAAATATTTAAAGAAGATGGAGTGTGTTTTAAGAATTGTTTTCAGAGCAGTGCTTGGACCTAATCATCTACCTCAACTGTGTGTGAGTCATGCTGCAGGATGCTACAGGAGATTCAGTTTAACACGATACATTTATCTCCCAGAATTCCATTTTTATGTTCTTTCACATATGTCTCTATTTGTTTAAGGTATTATTCTTGTGCTCATCACAGTAGAGTTTAAAATCTTGCAAAAGTGCACCCAGCAGTCAATACAATTAAAACAAAATTAATACTGCTGAGCTGAAGATTTGACACTTGCTTTTAGATATACACAGCCAGTGATCTGTACATTACCACTTAATATTTTTCCTCCACTTTCCATGAAAGTTTGGTCTAATGTTAAGATATCAAGTACTATGAATCTCACTCTTATCTCTGACAAGATTCTGGATTCTTCTAGTTGCCACTGTATTGATATTCTAATGGCCTTCTGTATAGAAAAAAAATTCTAAACCAATATCAAAAACATTAATGAAAGTGAAATACGAGAGAAGCATTGCAAATTCTACTTTAATGTGAGATAATAACAAGACATAAGGATATAGTATTATTTCTACATTTTTTCTTCATGAAATCAAGTTCATGTCTATACGGGCCCTCTGTATATGCATCTGAAGCTTCAAATTTAAACTGTGTATGTATAAATTAGTTCAGTGTTGTATTTTATACTCTGCTCAATAAAACAAATGACATAAATCAAGTTGCCTAGCTGCTACAGGCATTTCAGACAAAATGAATCACTCAATCTGTCCATCTATCTGATATGCATTGCAACAACATTCGTCAAATTACAGCTTGTATCATAAGTAGTATAGCCAGAGCCGGTTGTCTCTCTATACTTAACACTGGTGAGGACACGCCTTGAATACTGTGTTCAGTTTTTGGGCCCCTCTCAACACGAAAGACATTGTGGCCCTGGAGTGTGTCCAGAGAAGGACTATGAAGATGTGTGGGGTCTGGAGGACAAGTTTGATAGGGTGAGGCTGAGGGAGCTGGGATTGCTCCATCTGGAGAAGAAGTGGCTCAGAGAAGATGTATCACTCTCCACAGCCCCCTGAAAGGAGTTTGTGTTGAGGTGGGGCGTCAACATCTTCTCCCAGGGGACTGATGAGAGGAAATGGCCTAAAGTTGTACTAGGGGACATTCCAGTTGGACATTATGAGAAATTTCTCCTCAGAAAGAGCAGTGAGGCCTTGGCACAGGCTGCCCAGGGAGATGTTGCAGTCACTGTCCCTGGAGGTGTTCACGAACCGTGTGGATGTGACACTGAGGGATGTGGTCAGTGGGCATAGTGGTGATAGCTGATGGTTGGACTAGGGGAACTTAGTGATCTTTCCCTACCTTAATGATTCAGTGATTGTACTATTAGTACAAGAACTGTTCCAGAACAGGCAGAGCAGAATTCTCTCTCTCATGGAAACAATTACTAGGAAATCCCTGTATCTCTGCTGTTCACTAAAGTGTCAATCACAAAACTCCTCAGTGGTTACAGATTACTAGTGTGTACTGCATTCTACTGTAGTGAGAAACGTCTAATTTCAACATCTAGCAACACTGGGCAGCAATTCTGCGTTTCCATTCTCCTCGCCGTACACCTGATGGAGCCGAACACCTTCCAGCAGCAGATCTGGATGCTTATGCAATTCGACTCTGCTGCTCTTCCGGCTGCCGGTCAGCACCTTGGCACTCGCCTCCGTCAGTGGCGGCGTTGTGGGGAGGAATGGCGCTGCCCCTTGTCACTTAGCAACCCGCGGAGGCTGCTCACTAATGCATGAAGAGGAGTAGAGCACCGGCACGGGGTCGGACAAGGCCCACACAGAAGGGTGCAGCGCCAACGGTTCTTCCCGCCCTGCCGTCACATGACACGCACAGGGACCCTCGCGGCCCCCGCCCGGGCGTTACAAGCGCCAGCCCGCGCGGCAGCCAATCGGGAGGATGGGTTCACTTCTCCCTCCCCTCCCATTGGCCCGCGGTAGCAGCAGCAGCAATAGCGCGGCGGCATCGTCTCTCCGTTGGGTGCGCGCTCGCCGCCGCAGTTCTGCAGTCCGCCGCTGCCGCGGCTCGCGCACGCTCCAACCGCCGCAGTAGCCGGGGCTCGGCGGGGCGGGGCCGAGAGGCTGCAGGGGCTGGGCGCGGAGGTGCCTGTCCGCCGGCAGCCGGGATGCTGCCGCCGCCGCCTGCGAAGAGGGAGCGGGCGCCTAGCGGCGGGAGCGGTCCCCGAGCCCCGCGGCAGCGCTAGGGGACCCTTCCCGCTCAGGCCGTCGCCTGCTCGGCTCCGCGAGCCCTCCGCCGGGCGGTGGGAGCGGCAGGAGCGGAGCGCAGCCCTCGCCCCCGTCCCGCCGCCGCTCCATGGGAGGAGCCCACCGCCGCCCTGCGGGAAGCGCGGCCGCCGCGCGCCGGGATTGAGGGGTGCGGGCGGCTCTGAGACGGCGGGAGGATGCCCCTGTTCCGGAAGGTGCTGCGCGTCTCCAATCGCTCCATGCTCGCGTTCATCTTCTTCTTCTCCTTCTCCTCCTCCTGCCTCTACTTCATCTACGTGGCCCCTGGCATAGGTAAGCCGGCCCGTTGTTGGGGGATGGGAGGCGGGCCTCAAGGACCCCCGCTGTACCCGTGGTGGTGTGCGGGGCCGGGCGCGCTGCTGCTAGCCCCGCATCTTTGTTGTGCTGCCCTCCGACGCTCTAGAAGGTTCATCTGGCGTCGCGACGTGGGCAGTGCTATTCCTGCTTGCCAGGCCAGGAAAGTGAGGTGAAAACGCTGCTGGCCGTAGCGCCGCGCTGTAAGCTAATGGCAGGAGGAAGGCGTGAGCCGCAGGGTTGCCTGAATGCATCTTTTTAAGGCAACAGTAGCTGCGTAAATCCGTTAAAACGTTTGTCGTTTTCTTCTGTCAGTGGGATCTCTTCAGAGGCTTTGCGCTTGGTTAACTATTACCTTTGAAATCGCTGCTGCAGTAGGGAGATGAGTTATGTGAGAAATGCTGCGTAACACAGCTGCAGGTCTGGGTCTGATAGGGAAGCAAGCCACAGGACTGGTCGCGTGCTGTGTTCTTAGCTCACTTGTGCTCTTCCAGGGAGGGCATCAGGCTCTTCCTCACTGGACGAGTCCTTCGGAACTGGCTTGTGTTTCCTGAGATAAGAAATACTGTGTGTGGTGCTCTGTGGTATTTTGCCGTGTGGTGTGTCTATTGGCTAGGCTGTGCTTCCCCTTTTTCAGAGAACCTTGATGCTATCTCTTGCACCTCTCTGGATTTGTCAGGGCCTTCCCGAGTATCTGTAATGCTGCCTCCCTGTTATCCCTCTGTCTTTTCTTAGTGCTTAAAACTCCTCTCTGCAGTCTTTGCTGCAAAATGTAGCTCCTGATCAGGTGGCTAAATCTTTGCAATAATTGTGTCTTGCTGACTGCTGTCCTCTAGCTGTTCAGCTTAACTTTTGTTTCTGATCTAATAGTGGTAGGACAAGGAGGAATGGCTTTAAACTAAAAGAGAGGAGATCTAGGTTAGATGTTAGGAGAAACTTTTTTCACTCAAAAGCATTGAGGCAGTGGCACAGCTGCCCAGATAAGATGCAGTGCCCCATCCCTGGAGGCGCTCAAAGTTGAATGGGGCCCTGGGCAGCTGAGCTGGTGGGGGGACCCTTGACTGTGGGTCAAGTGAAGTGAAATCAACAGTGTATACCAGAAGAATTCTTGGGGTAGGTTGTTCAGGCCCAATCAACATAAAACAAATAAATAAAAAACTTAAACTGCAATCTCAGATGGATCTGTTATCCAGACATACAAGATAATCCAGACATGTATATATACATAATGTATCAAGTCTTGTTTTGCAATAAAGAAAATCTTCAATAGTTAAATGAGTTTGTGAGATTGCAACTCTTTCCAACTACTGCTCACTGGTGTGGTGCTCTATATAAGAGAGTTCAAAATGCCACCATCCTGTGCTGGTCTTACTGGGGTAGTAAATGTACAAAATGTTGAAGAGAAGGACAGAAAGAAAATTTTACAATGGTAATCTAAATCTGCCAGATTGCAGATGTGATGATTTTCCAAGGATTTGCTCCCAGAAATGTTACTGTGTACAATGGAGAGGAAGAAGATATAATGCTATCTCAGAATAAAGCCTGCAGCCATCCTGGCAGTATTCTTGGATGAATATCTTAATAGTAGCAAAGGAAGATGTGAAGGAAAGAAATAGTTTAGACAGGTGATTCATGTAATAATTGCATGTGGTATGCACGTGCTATTTTCAAATTGCTGTACATGCTTTTTGCCTTCCATTGTGTGTAATGGAATAGGTGTATCTAAATCAGAGTTGATTGTGCATGAGGAGGTGAAGCATGACAAAAATTGTTTACTGAAGTTCAGCCAGCAGCATTTTGTGAATATGTAACTATGAATGAAAAATTGGTAAGCTCAAAGCAGAAGTGAGATATCTATAGAACTTTACTCTGCAGTTATCATAAATAGTTGTAATCTGTCGTAATTCCTATGTGCAGATGTGTTCTAGTGAACAGATTGGTTGGTGGAGGTGGTTGAGTCATCGTCCCCGGATGTGTTTAAAAACCATTTGGATGTAGTGCTCAGGGTCAAGATTTAGCAGAGGGTTGTTAGAGTTAGGGTAGCATGGTTAGGTCATGGTTTGACTCGATGATCTTAAGGTGTTTTCCAACTGAGTGATTCTATGATTCTATGCTTGGTTCACCAGAACACTTTCTCCCTCGAGATCCAAGACATGGCAGAAGGGAAGACAGAAGTGTTTTCTCTTCCTACTGGAGGTGGGAATTGAAAAGAGAGGGAAAAGTTGATTTCCCAGTTGTATGAGAAGAAGAGTACGTACATTATGTAGTAGAGTGGCTTCCTGAAATGACAAAATCTGAATGAAAACTTAATTTTTACTGGTCTAATGCAATGGAGTTCCCTTCTTGCACACAGTTCTTCACTTATCAAAAGGAGAAGACGTCCACACAAGGAATTCCTTAGCTCTGGGGAAGTTTTTGGAGAGGTCACTGTCGCATTCCCTCTGTTAAAGGGTAGCATCTATACTTTTTTTTTTTTTTTTTTTTTTTTTTTTTTTTTTTTTTTAAGTGAAACTGCAGGTTTTGTGAATTTGGGATCCAGGTAGTTTGTTTAGAGGAAAAATCTCAACCACTTTCTTGAATGTTTTTGCTTATTTCTGAAGTTTAGATACTTTTATTTGCACAGTAATTATATGTATATCACCGATTTCTGTTATTATTTGTAGGGGCCTAGCAGGATATTAGTTCTTGGGGAAATAGAAGCTTTTGTTTTCCTGTGTATTTCAGAATATGAGGAGTAGAAAAGCATTTGTGTCAGGTTTTCAGTCACTACTGTGTTTTTTGAGACTAAGACATGTAATATTCCACACCACTTAAAAATTTAGGGCTTACTGAGAAGAATTCGTGCACTGTTTTTCGTGCACTTCCTCTTGCCTGTTTTACAAGAAGAGAAGATGGAGTGGAGTAGAGATGGTTGCAACCTTACCTCAGTGCTCCTTGTCTGCTTTTGATAGTCAGAAGAACTGAGTTTTGAGTTTACATAGTGGAATGTCTCCAAAGATGAGGAGAATCAGACAAAGATAGAGGGCTCTGATGAACAAGAAAGAACACCTGCTGATTTTATTTCACTGCCAAGCCAATCTGGTAGTTGCCAGAGAGATTTATCTTTCGACCTTTATTTTTCAACTTTTCTATCAGCATCATAACTGAAATCTCATACACTGTAACTGTAACATTGTAATCTCTTGCTCACCAGAGGGTTTCTTTTTTTTTTTTTCTGACTTCAGCAGAATACTTCTAGCAGTATCTTACAGCTCTCAGTAGTCAACTGCAGTCTGACTTGGCCAGCTTGGGTGTAATGATGTTATAGCACCTGTGGGAACTGGGTATGAAGCAGTGCAGGGATTGTGGAGGATATAGTCTGTTTTTGACCTCAGTGAGGAGAAAGCCTGAGCAGTGAATGAGACTGCTGAGGAAAAACACAGCTACTGTTAACCTCCTCTGTCATTCCTAGCCAAGGAGCAGCTTGCTAGCTAGGCAGGACTTTGTAACATCTTCATTGGTTTCAGCATACAAGTTGATCTATTTAATATCTTTCATTCCCCTATTCACTATTAGGAAATGATTTACCTGATAGGAGAAGACTATACCAATCCTTTTCAACTTGTGCAGAAATGGAGGGAAGAACTGAAAATGTGATCAGTAAGATAAATATTTGCCAGTGAATGATTCCAGGTGCTGAGCACATAGATACAGGCACAGCTTCTGTATTCCTGGCATCTTTGTCATTTGTAATGTTTCCGAAGACTTGCTGTTTGATCACAGAATAATTTAGGTTGGCAGAGACGTGTGGAAGTTATCTGACCCAACCTCCTGCTGCAAGCAGATCATACTAGATCAGATTGCTCATGGCCGTGTCCAGTTGAGTTTCAAATATCTCTTTGGACAACCTGTCTCAGTGTTTGACAATTCTGAGAAAGTTGTAATGTTGGAATTTCCCATCTTTTTGTCTCGTGTTCATTGCCTTGTATATTGTTTTCTATCTAGCTCTGAGAAGCATTCAACTTCATCTTCTCAGTGTTTCCACTGTGTGGCTGAAAACGCCAAAAGTGCACCTTCCCCATAGTCATTTCCTGTTAGGACTGAAAAACCCATGTCATTCAGTTTCTGTTTCTATATTACCTAATCCATCATTAAGATTTTCCCCTGGGCTTGCTCTGGTGTGTTGAAACCTTTCTTTTACTGGAATCCCCATACTAGCTGTGGTATGCTAATACAGTCTCACAAGTTGCTGTACAGAGACTCAGTGCCATTCACCTAAAGGCTATGCTGTTGCTAATGCCACAATCATTTTAAGCTCAATCTTTATCAAAGGCTTTAGTTGGCGGAAATTGTTTCAGAATTAGCTACTGAATTATTTAACTTGCTATATCATCAGCTAATTTTCTGATGATGGAGGATAGAATGGAGCATCCTGAGGTGGAAGGGACCTTCATTGAATCCAGCTCCATGTAAAGCATGTAAGAAGTTGTACTGAAGATTGTTTTGGGTATCACACTTAAAATATTTGATTGTTTTTGTTCTTTACCCTTAAGTGGAGACTTGACCAATAGGTTTGCCTTTCTTACTGGCTCTGCTAAGTAGATAACTGATGTTTATTGGGTCCCTCAGACTTGGAGCCAGAGGACTCATCCATTAGGCACATTCTGTGACAGTAAGTATACAGACATTGTCTGGAGTAGTGGAAAAAAAACCACCACTGTAAACAATTCTGAAACCTCTCTGTGGTATTTGGTAAAGATATGTCTACGTGCATCATATGAATGATCTCTGTTAACCTCCAGGTACATCAGTCACTGTTGGTTTTCTTACAGATTAAGGTGATCTGTGTCTTTCTAATATATTTTCCTTACAAGGATTATATGTATGCAAACTTGAAAGCAGTCTCATCACACCCATTAAATAAGTGTTCATTGATTATTAAATTACAAACACTGATAATTCATTTTAAATGTTCAGCAGTAAATCAGGCCAAAAATAGG